AGTATTCATATGATTTTAAGTCTCTTGTTGAAATAAAAGTTTGTAGCTTGAATGTTTTGTTGGAGGGTGTTAAGGATTTTGTCAGAAGTCTGAATTTTCTAGCAAGGTACATGCAATGCTGTTCCAGTGCCTATCTCAGTGTTATCATGGCAATATTGATTTCCTTGTTGCTCCACAACAGTTGAGAGACTATTTGGAAAAGGCTGTTGTCCAGCAAGAATAGGGAAAAAGATTTAGTTATCAAAATGTTGTGATATGCTTTCCTTTTGCACTCGTAGAGGGAGATTTTCCAAGGACCCAGGGGCAGCAGCCCAACTCCTATTTAGTTTATGTGGAACTTGGATTTCTGATTAACGTGCTGCTCCTTTACATCTCTTCAAAAATTGTTCATATCTCTTTAGATTATGTATTGTGCATTAGTATTTAAGTGCATGCAACTTCTCAAGTCCAGCAAGTGGGTACATGAGGGTGGGTAGATCACACACATGTCGACTCAATGCACATGAGATTTAGAAAAAGGATCTGGAAAACTGGGATCAGTGTTATAGGAGGAACACTTTTGGTTTAGCTTCTAATCTTAAATGCTGACATCTTACATTTAAGCTTGGAATATATTATTTCAGCAGGTGAGTGAGCTTCACAATCCATTATTCTCTTACTATCAAGGTGACTGTGCCAGAGAAGTGAGGTCTGAGCCAGCAAGGCCCTGTGCTGCAGGTACTGTTTCCCCAAGGACAGATGCTAGGCAGATGCTAGCTCACCTCTGCTGGGTCATGGGATCAGTAAGAAAGGCCCAGATGGGATCCAGAAATAGTCTGTAAAAGTCATCAGATCTCAGGAATGCAGTATCTCCCTATATCTTCATTTTATCACAGTCACTTGATAACAGAGGTACTGGAAATTTCCTCAGTTCCGTGTCATAGTCTTTTTCTTCGTATCTTAAGTAAAGCTTTGTGGCAGTCAGACACCCCCTGAAGATCTTACTCAGGCCAAAGGGAGCTGATAAAAGTGAATTCTAGGCATACTGATTAGTTGTACATAAATAGCAGCTTTCAAAATAAAAAGCACAGTAGCTCCTTTTTCAAGTGAAATATACAGAATATCCTTCAGTATATTGAACCAAAGGGTATTTTTTTTTTATTAACAAACAAAATCCTGTTTTACTAGCCAAGCTTGGGCTAAACAGTTACAAAAATAATACAGAGAAACACTTTCAGGCAGAAAAGCATGAAACGGGTGTTGGAAATTGTGTCATTTCCTAGTGTCCTGACATGGGGAGAGGGAGTGACTATGTGATGAAAGGCCCTTTTCATGCCACGTAGAGAAAGCTGTCGTGCAGGTCAACACAAAGAGCCAGTATATGGTCAGAGTTTAGTAGCCAAAAAGATTTTTACGTGAACATTTCTCTACTGTCTAGACACAACCAAAAAAGCTTGGGTGTCATTTGCTATGCAGATGTTTTATGGCACTGTGCAGAACTGAACTGAACTATCTGGGTTTCATGATGGAGTTCCCTGGCACGTTAAGAAAAACTCCCAGGTCTGAATGAGCTGTCTACAAGTCCTGGATGAGGGAGAGGAGAATCAGAAGGATTTTTCATTACTGAAAGTTTTACTGAAATTTCAGGAAACAAACTCATTCAGTAACTTGTTACACATAAGAAGTAGTCTGGGGTGAATTTTTCCCCTCAGCTTTTACAGTATTGATTTGCTGAGCTTTGGGTGAAAAGCTTTTTGATTTGTAACTCTGTGCTTGTGAAATTAATAAAACTGAGCAAATACAACTGCAGAATATGCTTATGCAGAGTACTGCAGACATATGCTTTTGTACACTGCATTAACTTCATTGTCACTGTGTAGTATTTGCCTGAGCAGACTTTACAGTACTGTACAGGTGGGTGAGATTAGATATCCGGGTTATTCTGTGAGCATGGTCACTATGTGATCTTGAGTATGTCGCTTCTTGCAGTGCATGTTTCCTCATTGTAAAGATTCTAGTTCTTCATATGGCTCTTCTGAGCCTATAATTATTCTAAAACACATTAGAGATACTGAATTGGAAGGCATTAGCCAAGGGAAGTTCATCATTATAAGGTGTATATAGGTATGGGATACAGTAATTCAGCATGGCCAGGAGGATCTAAGATAGAAATTTGGAATAATCAAGAAGGCAGGTAGGCAAAAAACTGAAGCTTTCTTCTCTTACCTTCTGTTGTACTAGGTGATTGACTTGTCTAACAAGAATGAATATAGAGAGAAATAAATACATTTGAAAATTTAGCCCTAAAAATGTGTATGTGTTAGAGTTCTGGGTGGACTCATCTTTGGATCCAGAACTCTCAGTCTTCCAAGTTGTAAAGGCCAGGACCAAAAGGACATAGATACCACAAACAGGGCTTGAGTTGAGACTATGGAATTTTCCATTTAGGTCTCACCTAACCCAGCAGTGCATTAAAGCTTCATTTTTCCTTGTTTCTGGAGTGTGGCATCCCCGAAGCAGCTCCTCTGCATGTGCTCAGAACTGCAGCCACAAAGAGGCATGTTGTCCCCGGTTGTCGTATGTAGAGCTATTTCAGTCTTTCTGGTTTGCAGACCACCCTGCAGGCCCCGTACACGGTTCAGATGAATTAGGCGTAGAGTTAGAGCTACAGGAGCACGGAACAGGGCAGGAGCTGGAGAAAAGCACTGATGCATTGCTGGAAATACCTGGTAGGTGCTGAGAACGAGAGCTAGGTATTAAGCAGGTATGTTACACAGAGCACGAGACCTGGCAATGCTGTTCAGTCTGCCCTGACATGTGACAGAGCATGAGTTGTATAGGTCATGATATCACAACAGGAAGGCATACAGCCCCTGTGTTATCCAGACAATCCATCCCTGCTGATGCCATTGTGCTATGCACAGTTTTGGAGCCGGGGGGTCTCTGTTCAAAACACGGCTCCTTTTCAGTAGCACTTCAGTGGCCGGCTAGCAAGCAGTGAGCTGTGTTTGGTTATTTGAAAGGATGCAGGAGCTTACCCCCCAGAGGGATGCTCACTGTCTTTGAGTCTGTAGTGAATGAAAACGCCTTTTGGGTGTCCCACCATGGAGCAGAAGGTAAAATATGGACCTCTACCTCAGGTATTTTCTGTTGGCTGACAATCGGCATCTGTCCTGTGTGTTGACTTTTGACAGCCCTCTGCACACCGTGAGCTGGTGGCTCTAAGGAGAGGTATGCTATGGTGTAAGGTGAAAAAGTTGGATTACTTGGACTGAATTGCTTTCTAGTTGGAAGGCAGTTCCAGAAATCTGAGTATTTTTTGCTAGAAGCCAGTTTAGATGTTAAGTATAGCAGCTGCTTTACTCTTGTGTGGTTCCTTTGATGTGGTTGTGATCATTTGCTTAGGCTGTTTTAAGACAGTAGGTACTTGGGTTGGTATTGTTTTTCTAGCCAGAAGAACCGAAGGTAGTTCATCTCTGAGCTTAGCAGATGGTTGGAGGCATGGCTGTGAGTAAACCAGGGCTGATGCACAGCGCTGTGGATAGCTCCGTATGACAGCATCAAACCTGGAATGGAAGAATGGAAATGACGTGCTGCAGCCAGCTAGACAGAGGTCTAAGAGAAAGCATTCCCTCTCTGTGTAGCTGCGGGATCAGTGCCTTGTAATGGGCTGACTGCAGGAGAAATGTGGTGCTTAAACCACCCACTTAAACTCACTTCTCCCCTCACATGTTTTTGAGAGACTCACACTGAAGTGATAGTAGCGGTGAATGTTTTATGGCGACTTGTGAAATGGTGATTAAGTGAGTGCATTTTGAGATGGGCTCTTCAGTGGCATCCTCAGCACTGCTAGCTCCAATACCAAATTGGTAAATAATTCAGTTATAAGCATTGCATAAAACTTTAGTTTGTTTGCACTGCACAGAGAAGGTGTAGTTGGCACATAAGAGGTGTGTTGTTACTAGTACTCCGGGACTGCAAGGCAGTGTTCGAAAGGGAAGCCTGGGAGTTGGGCTTTCCAGGGTTCTGCTGCTGTCCCTGGCCTTGACTCCACTCTAGCACCAGGCAAATGGGTTTCTGGCTGAAATTTCTCAACTTCAGTGTACTGGTAGTAGCAGGTACTGTGACTGAAAGGAGGATTCTGGATGTTTTCTGGAAACTGGGAGTGCTGTGTGAATGCTGGCAATCACTGTCGGTGTCATGAAGTTTCATTAGGGCTTGTCTCATCAAGACTTTGCTCCTTCACGTTCAGGCAATATGTTTCCAGTACTAAATGTCCTTTGATAATAATCGCCTCATTTTACTGTTTGTAGGCAGCTTTTACTAGAGTGCATGTTCTAGCAGAAGTGTTCCACCTCCCTTCCATTGTGCTCGTGGGTATGTTTTCCACTTGTGTCTATTGTTTTGGTTGGATGTAATTTACTTGCAAAGCAGCTTTTAAGAAGTGTGAAGAGCATTCTTTGCAGTGTGTCATTGGCTGAAATAAAGCCACTGTGTAAAGATTGCATCTTCTTAGGTAACAAATCCTTACAATATTTGGCAGGTGTAATCACTGCATTTAAAAAAATATACATAAATGAGATTTAGACCTAGCTGTGCAATGCTACAAATATACCAATTGTAGTTAATTTTCAGCAACTGAATTGAAGTGACTGTTGAACTACAGCAAACCCCGTGTCTATTTTTCCATGGTGGAATGGACTGCAGATAGTGATTTTATCACAGAAGCCTCCTAGAGAGACAGTGTTCTGCATTCTTTTCCATTTCACAACGTTACCAGCATCAGATTTATTCTACAGGATATCGCCTTCCCTCCTAGAGAAGCTGATTCCTTGCTTAACAGGAATATAATAAGGAAGGTCTTTCCAAGTTTGCTTGGAAACTGCCTTCTCTGTGCTGAACTGAGACTTGCAGCCCTCACTTTTCTTAAATACTGTATTCACTCTTAAAGTCTCATGTAGCACATTCATTTATGGTTTAATGCAAATGGTCCTTCTTTGTGTTTTCAGGGAGTCCTTGAGATGGCAGCAATGACAGAATTCAATAACGTCTGTTCAGTGACTGAAATGCCAGAAGATGAAACTAAACAGAGTTTCCATCACAGAATGTTCTTGGAACCCCAAGAGACGAAGAGGAGCATGAAGGCTCTGGTGGTTAAGCAAGCAAAGAAAACTTGCAGCTGCACTCCAGACAAAGTTAAAGACTATGTTTTCAGTTTCTTTCCCGTCTTGCAGTGGCTTCCTAAATACAAACCAAGAGAACACCTACTGGGAGATATTATGTCTGGTGTGATTGTGGGGGTTTTATTAGTCCCACAGTCAATTGCCTATTCTCTCTTGGCTGGACAGGAGCCTATTTATGGCCTTTATACATCTTTTTTTGCTGGTATTATTTATTTCATATTTGGAACCTCCCGCCACATATCAGTTGGCATCTTTGGTGTGATTTGCTTGATGGTGGGACAAGTGGTGGATCGTGAAATACAGAGAGCTGGCTATGACTTAGAGCCAGCTGTGCTCAGTGTCCTCACAGATGCAGCAGCATATGTAAACACCACCATTTTACCTGTGAATCGGACATCGCAGAAGCTGCTCTGTGATAAAAGCTGCTATGCAATTACAGTGGGAGCCACCATGACCTTCATAGCTGGAGTTTATCAGGTAAGAGGCGGGGACAAACAGGTATGCTGTGGAAATAGTTTTAATTCTTTAGGTGATTGTCCACATGAACAGCCTGCTGGGCTTGCACGTGTCCTCAGTCTCCCAGGGGAGCAGACACGGAGAGGACTGGAGGTCTCCAGTTACTGTGGTGCAAGAAACTCCTCTGTGTCCTCTCCTTTTTTTACTAGCGTTTTGTGCTTGCATTGCTGTTCTGTTGGGGACTGTGAGGACCTGCACATAACCGCCTGCTGCTCTCACACAAACTGCTCACCATCTTCCTTGCTGTGGCCTGAAGCTTTTTTTTTTTTTTTTTGCTGGCTTATAGCTTAGGCCTACATTTCTCTGGACCAAAACATGGTGTGTCAGCTTTTAATTCCAGGCTTCAGTCGTTTGCCTTTTATCAAAAAAGAATACAGACAGTAAAAGTCTCTGCAGTTACCTTTTGTTTGTCCCTGTGTTTGTAAAACTTTGCTGTTTGCCCGTCCAAAGCCAAAACAATGTCATTGGATGAAAAGGATACTGCTGAGATGATAAAATTTATTTGAAATAAAACTTTTAATTGTTAATCTATTAAAATAAATGACTCAGCAATATTTTACTACTCCATCTCTACTTACTTCCTAGAATTCACTGCTTGCTGAAATTAAAGCAGATATCTTTGTTTTTGGACTGTCATGCGTTAACCAGAATGGATTTAGTTTTAACGGTACTGCAGAGCTGTGGTATTTCAGGTTTGTGAGTTCACATTTGTTTGTTCTTACAGTGACTTCCAGGGTGATAGCTAATTAGACTGTATAGGAGCAGAAAAGGGAACACACCTGTGATACTCTAAAACACTGATTTTTAGACACAACCTGGGACTTTTTTCTTGTACTGCAAGTTAGTGTTGAGTAGTTTCAGAAGTATTCTGGGACTCCTGAGGTACCCTGGGTTTTGTGTTTCATCACGGTAGGATGGATGCAGTTGTGGAGTTGTGAATTGTGCTTAACATTCTTTAAAAGTACCATTAAGTTTCTTTATATGAAGAAGTCAGATTACTTTAGCTTAAGTCCCTATGAATGTTAGGCATATTGCTGTGTCTCTGCCTGCTAACCAATAGGTCTTCACACCCTCAAATATTTTTATTATTAGAAGCTCCAACTAAAATCACATATTCTTTGTGTCAGAAACCTTAAAATCAAATTGCAAAAAGCGAGCCCGCTCACACCAGTTGCCTACAGCATAACTAGGTAAGATAATTATTGCCAGTGTTTTCCAGTTAGAAAAACCTTGAATTAACATAATTATGAAGGCTGTGAGGGGGCCTTTTTTACAGCTTGGCTCTGAGCCGATGTCCAGTCAGTCCAGGTCCCAAACCTGCCTTCTCTTCAGTAATGCTTTGCAGTTCTTACAAAGTTTCCAGCCATAATCCTAGCCTTCTTTATTTTACCTTAGCTACCTAATAGGATATATCAAATTGGCACTACTTGAAGCTTAACACCTGCAAGTTCTGGCCTGCAGTCTTCAGATAACAGTGCAGCCATCCCTGTTGGCCAGCACAGGGAATTAAAGGGTTTCTAGCAAACTGCTGTGTGAAGGTCCATGCTTCGTTTGGCATGAAGGTTGATGGGGGAGGAAGGGACATTTACCAGGTGCGAAGATGCATGTGTAGGGTAGGTATCCGTAAAACCAGTCATTCCCATGAGAGAGCACCAAGGATTTGTCCATCCAACTAGCATTAATAAAAAGGAATGACTGAATCAGATGCACCAAACTTTATGCAGTGCAAAGGACAGCTGTTTTGTCATAATCTATATTTTTATTGCAGATTGTGAGCTCCAGTGTAAGACAAAGACAACAAAAAAGGTTCTGGATCCCTGCAAAGTTCATAGATTATAAGAGCTTGTTAGAGAAATGGAAAAGTAGCCAGTATTCTAAATACTTTTCCTGTCTTTCTTTGCCTGCTAGGGCAACTAGAAGTTCAACTGAACCAATGACCAAAGAACAAACACAGGTTCAGAGTATGAAGACCCTCAAAAAAAGCCTGCTCTGTGTTAGAAATGCATTTTGTTTAAGTGCGGTGCACTAAGAATGGCTGAATGCTGGAGACTCTTTTCTCCGTGCTCAGACCATGCCTTGTCCTCCAGGGCCTTGCACAGTGTTTTTTTTTTTTTTTAAATCACACCTTCCTCCAGAGCCCCACAGTGATGACATATGTAAGATCTGCGTCCTAATCTGTTGTGTGTGGTTGATTCCTTCCAGGTGGCCATGGGTTTCTTTCAAGTGGGCTTCATCTCAGTGTACCTCTCCGATTCATTGCTGAGTGGATTTGTCACAGGTGCATCCTTTACCATCCTGACCTCACAAGCCAAGTATCTCCTGGGCCTAGACATTCCACGGAGCAGTGGCGTCTGCTCCCTCATAACCACGTGGATAAACATCTTCAGAAATATACACAAGACCAACATCTGTGATCTCATCACCAGCTTCTTGTGCTTTCTTATACTTATCCCAGCCAAAGAGCTTAACGAACACTTCAAATCCAGGCTCAAGGCTCCAATACCGGTTGAACTGTTTGTGGTTGTGGCAGCTACTCTGGCATCTCACTTTGGGAAGCTGAGAGAGACTTACGGTTCGAGTGTTGCTGGACACATCCCAACTGGGTTTCTGCCACCCCGCCCTCCAGACTGGAACCTGATTCCTAATGTGGCTTTGGATGCTATCCCCATAGCTATTATTGGCTTTGCCATCACTGTCTCCCTCTCAGAGATGTTTGCCAAGAAGCATGGTTACTCTGTGAAGGCCAACCAGGAAATGTACGCCATTGGCTTCTGCAACATCATTCCCTCTTTCTTCCATTGCTTCACAACAAGTGCAGCTCTTGCCAAGACTCTTGTCAAAGAGTCCACAGGCTGTAGGACACAAATGTCCGGCATGGTGACTAGTTTGGTAATCCTGTTAGTCCTCCTGGTGATTGCGCCTTTATTTTATTCCCTTCAGAAATGTGTCCTCGCTGTCATAACCATTGTAAACCTCAGAGGAGCCCTGCGGAAGTTCAAGGACCTGCCAAAAATGTGGCATTTGAGCAGAGTGGACACAGTAATCTGGTTAGTTACTATGGCAGCCTCAGCACTCATCAGTACTGAGATTGGTCTTTTGGTTGGTGTTTGCTTCTCTATGCTCTGCGTCATCTTCCGAACTCAGAGACCAGAGGCACCGCTGCTTGGCTGGGTGGCAGAGTCTGAGACATATGAATCCCTGTCTGCTTACAAGAACTTGCAAACTAAGCCAGGAGTCATGGTGTTCCGTTTCGAAGCACCCCTCTACTACATCAACAAAGAATGCTTTAAATCCATCCTGTACAAGCAAACTGGGGTCAACCCAGTCTGGGTGAAGGCAGCAAAGAAAAAGGCAGAAAAAAGAATGCTCAGAGAGAAAAAGTTGGATTCTGGTGGCATCTCCATGGAGTTTGCCTCTGAACCTCTGGGGTTCCACACAATAGTGATTGACTGTTGTGCAATACAGTTTCTGGACACGGCAGGAATACGTACACTCAAAGAGGTCTGCAAGGACTACAGGGAGATCAATGTCCAGGTGCTGCTGGCCCAGTGCAATCCTTCTGTGAGGAGCTCCCTGATCCGAGGAGAATTCTTTAAAGAGGGGGAGGACCGCCTTCTCTTCCACAGTGTGCACCAGGCTGTGGACTTTGCATTGGGTGCACAGGGGCACAGTGGGACCAGTGCTTCTAAGAACTAGCTGTGGAAAGGCAGCAAGCTGGAACAAAGCCTGGCAAAAATGGCTGTGGGTCTGTATGTCTATGCAATATATATGCACTCAGATAAAAAGGGCACAGGTGTTGTTAACACACTGGTTACTATGCAGTCTGTTTTGATGCTTTAAATTTGCCTGCTGGGTATAGTGATTCAGTAGGTGGTACTGAATGAAGGCAGTTCTTGAGTATGGCTAATCTGTGAATGTAAGAGTTTTCATATGGTTGTTCATCTCATTTCTTTTCTGTATTGATCTTTCCATGTCTCAGTTCACCTCTGAGTTTTGATCTTAGCATTGAAGTCTTTATTGCAAACCTGTCTTTATGGGTGGGATGGGATTTTGAAGTAGTCCAGGCATCCTATCCAGCTGAATAATATGAGGCAACTAATTTATTTTCCTTCATTCTGGCATTGCCTTTTCCATATCACCACACCCTTATATTTTCTAAGGAATGACTGAAGGGGATTGTTTGCTTTGGTCTTTACTGTGAAGTGATTGGTTAGTGATTTTTGTAACCTCCCTGAATTTGAGACAGATAGATAAATAAAATCTAAACCTGCATGAAAAGGTCTTAATGAATAGCTTCTAACCACCTGTCACATCCAGAGGCCTCGAAATTGTCTCCTCAAAGCCTACAGCAGCCAGGCATTGGGGGCATGGTTAGCTCATTTCTGTATGGGCCTTTACATGCCAGGAAAGTTTGCCTCTTTAGCTTGAATTTCTTTGGATAATCTGAAATGACTTTCATTCAGAGGTGACTATTTATAAGTCTGATTCAAGCTTACGGTCAGTCATTTACTTTCCTAATATTTAGGAGCTCTTTAGAATTGTGGACATTAGATGTGGAAAATCTATAATTGAGTTTCAACAAAAAACAATCCCTTACAGCCAGTTTTATATGCCAGTCAGACAGAATCACAGGCAGCAAAATAAAAGGGCCGAATAGATTATCCAGCATCTGTCCAAATTTGTCCATGTCAGACAGACTTCATGTGTGAATGCAGGTTTTATTGATACGCCATTTACACATGCTCTGTCATGGGCTTTATGTAGTGAGATGGACAGGCTAAGAAATACAGCCATTAGAAAAGGAGCCAGAGAGAATGCTGCTGAATGTTATTTCACCATGTTAATGCAAGTAAAACTTTGTACTTTGAATTTAAATTGTGCAGAACAGTGAAGAGTGTCTGTTTTTCATGCTAAAATACAAGCAGTGGGTAGGAAGAGGTTCTCTTTTTGTACAGCAATAGAATGCAATTATGAAGGTAGAATTGAGAGAATAATAGTTTCAACTGAGTACCAGCTATACATAGTGCATGGTACATCCTTGGAAGATGGTGGCTTCTCCCAGGGGAGTTTATAGTCTGAATTGCAGGTTCTTCACAGCTTTTAAAAGGGAAAAGCTGTTGTATACAATGTTCTCATCCTTCATCATTCAAAAGTAATGAATCAGGAGTCAAAAAAGGAATAAGTGCAATATGAATAATGAAATATTTTCTAAATAGAAATATATTTTGAGTTGAGGATTTTTTTTCCTTCTGAGCTAGGGCCAGTAGCTATTCCCTCCTTTCTATGAAAGCTGAAATGTCACGTATCACTTCTCACTTCACTCTGGGAGCTGGGACCTCAAGAGAAGGGACTAATAGCAGAAAGATGAATCCCTGGACCCGGCAGCCTTTCTATGTTAACTGAACTTACTATATTTTTAGGGCATCATAGCAGCACATAGAAATACTGGGGGAGGCAGGGGGTGGCTGTAGCATATATTAAAAATACATATTGAAAAGGAGCACATAGCTGAGGTCCGTGCATTTTGTGTTCTGGACCTGGCATTGTTAAGGAAGGAGGTCTCCAAGTATCAGAGAGAAAATGCTAAAAGCTTCTGCAGTATTCAAAAACCACAGATATTTTTCTTTCTCAGCCTTAAGGCATGCTTATACAAGGAGGTGAATCCCAAATAGCTACTGCAGAATTTTTTCTTTTCTGCAGTAACCTCAGGCATGAACTTGTTTATTCTGGCCTAAGAATAACTTATGCAGTTTGGATAATTATAATTATAATTACTGAATTGGCATTACCAGGGTGAATTAGCCTAAGCCGTATAAAAGCAATGAGTGGGGTTAACACCTACGCAGGGAGTGAATGCAGGATGGAAATTGAAACACCATACCTGTTTTGCTTTGACCTGCGGCAGGTCCCACAGCTGTGTGCCAGCTTGGGAAGGCTTGTCACCACAGGGGTTTGTGGCCTGTGGGCTGGCTGGTGGGGAGCAGTGCAGACCCTTGATACCATTTCTAAGTGCTGATTTTAGGTAATATTTTTCAAGAGAGCAGAAGAGTGCTAGAAGCAGTGCCTTCTCAAAACTGATAAGAAAATAACAGCACAGCAAACAATAAGCAGTGTGCCTTGTTATTGCAAATGTTCCTCCCTACCACCAGCTACTGTTCTCACCCCCGTGCCCCACGGGGCAGCTGAGAGGGAGAGGAGGAACGAGCAGCCGGCGAGGAGGCTTCCTCTAAGGTAGGTCAGCCACGAGTGGGGTAGAAGTGAAGTATAAATCTGAGTGATTCTTTCCTCTTTACACTCACAGCTCCTCTCTCCTGTACTCTTTCCTTGCTGCCTGAGTGGAGGTTTTTTTGACCTGTGACCATGCATAGGTCTGTGTAGCCAAATTCTAACTGAGAAAGGGAATATAGTAATTATTTATTAAAAGATTTTTTTTCAAATCCATTTCTACCTGTGCCAGGAGGGGAGGAATAACAACATTACTTCCAAGAAGTACACACTTTCCACAGCTAGCAGGGTGCATATTTGTAGCTCCTGGGTATTTGTTCACGTAAAAGCATAATAAACCAGCCATAAATTGATTTTCAAAGAATTAATTTCTAGATGACAGCTAAAACGTATACTGGAGTGATTTATGTTTAGCTGGTGCACATCGTATTTGGCCTCAGTGCTGTTTGTGCAGCCACGACTGGCAAATGGCCTACAAATTCCTTTGCAAGCGAAACACAAGAAACTTCATTAAAATGCAACGGCGAAAGCAGCCAGCCAACCGAAAGAACAACTTTTAATGTTCTTATTTAAGATAACGTCCAGAGGTCATACTATTAATAAGTCTGTATTAGTGCACACAGCCTTGGTTAAAAGGGAAGAGAGATAAATGCCATTTGCCAGAGTTCAGTATAATAGAGAGTCCTTTGGAATTAACTGAAGATAAGAGTTTATCATGGCTGGAATTTCTTAAAGCAGTGGGTTTTCAGCCATTTTCCTTTTAGGCCTAGAATATTTAACAGAGACATGAATCTGATTTAAGCCTAGTAGCAAGAAGCGCACTGTGCTTGAGTATGTTTATGGACCCTTAGAAGTAATCCAATTTTACCCTTAGGAATCAGGGACCACTGATTCAAAACTGTTGCCCTAAGGAATTAGTTTTATAAAAGAATTTCATATATATATATATGTATATACATGTGTGTGTATATATGTATATACACCTTTTGCTGCTATATGATGGATGCAGCAGCTATGTATATCCAGTTATGCTTTTGTGATACTCCTGTTTCTGTCCTGGAAAGGGCTTTTTTGCCTTCTGCTGGTTTAAATGAACAGTGGAATAGAGATTTTGTGAGGGGAGATCTGCCATACCTGCTGCCTTCTAGCTCAGTCTTTTCCCTGCCCCACAGCTTAATTTGTAATCTATAGGAAGAGGGAATCTAAGAACAATTGTTCTTGGATTTATGGATCTGTCCACAACAGGGACATTCATCCCAGGTGCAGCCTCCAGAACCCCAGGCCAGACTGGAAGATGGTATAAATCAGTTGATCTCCATTCCCAAAAGTACTAATCAGCAATTATCAGTCTACATGAAGAATTAAGAGCTCATTAGCACGTTCATTAACGACAACAACATGGCATTATGGAAATTAACACTCACAGTCTCAGCTGTAGTAAAGACTCCTGGAAATGTCTTTAGCAGTCTCCTGCTAAACGTCAGGTGCTCTTTTTACGTTTATTGCTGCTATGGGTAGTAGTGTCAGTTCTTCCTATCGTGGCAATTGCACTAATAAATGTTTCACTTCTGTGAATGTTTTTACATGGAAACAATTTTCAGTCCACTTCATGAAAGAGAAAGGTACTGCAGTGAGGTACATGGTGCTTATTTTTTGGATTTATAATGACAGTGCCAGCCTTAGTCGTGTGCAATTCAGTGATCCTGCTTTCCTCGTAAACCATTGCAGCTCCATCTGCTCCTCCCTAATTCACTGCGAGACCCTCACCTCCTTGACTTCTGGCTGTGTTTTGCTGTAAGACATTGCATAGGATTGACTGTAAACAGAAGAATCACCACCTTTGTGTATGTTGCTGTTATGTGTGACCTGCTACACAGTTTTCATGACAGATCTTTTGATAAGGCTGAAGCTCCTGAACACCGAGTGTAAAACAACCCCAAACCCACCAGTCCCCTGGTGGCTGGGAGAAAGGGGGCTGTGGGAAGCTGTGGGGGGAGCATCGCTGTTCGTGTCCCCTCAGGAGGATACTGGAGCCTTAGCCCAGGGTGGGGCTGTGCGAGGGTCTGCGTAGATGCAGGGGTAATGGTGATGCCCGGGAACAACAGACGGACCTGGAGGTGTCATTACTACCAGGCTACTGCTGCCCTGTTACGCAGCCGTGTGCTTTTCTCTGTAATGAGTGTAGTAGTAACACAGGACCTAGCTCCTGCTCAGCGCTGCTGCACGGGTCACTGTCCCAAAGTATATGTAGAAGAGATTTCTGTTTTCATGTTCATTTATTTTTATCCAATTTTAATCTACGTCTGCACGTGGCTTTCCCAGCCAGGGAAGCTCTGCGCTCCTTCCCTGTCGGGCAGCAGCAGTGAACAGGAGAGTGCTCTCTTCTGGGAAGAAACACAACCATTCCTTCATCTCCGCTCACTTCTGCTGGCTTGTACCAAGAGGCATTAAAATCCCCTGCTGATGGGTCT